TTGTAAAAAGTATTTCCCCCTAGGAGTTGAATGTAAAACTATTTTAAAATATTGAATACATTTTCAAAAGTACAAATAAATTGTTATTAACAATTGCATATAATCATATTTGAAGCCTCTTTTCAATCGATCCATTTTCTTTGCATTTGAAAGTCTGAACTGTATAAGGTCTCAAGACACGAGCCACAATCACCAGCTCTTGTAGAACCAGGTGTCGTATCAAAAGTCGCTATATTGACAGTATGTATTTTCTCATTTCAGGAATTATGCCAAAAACTTAGTCTTAAATGTGGGGATAGTTTTAGGAAGCACATATAGCGATATTAGTATGGTTCCTTTAAGCAAATGAGATGTTGTAACCTAAAAAGATCATGCCGAAAGAAGCATTCACTACAATCTCTTATATGTCTACCCTTCAACAAACAAAACATAAGTAAACTTACAAACTTCAGAGCATGCAAAACATCAGTAAGCAAACATAACTCCAATTCAGAAAAAAATTCAGCACTTTAGGGGAAGCAAAAGTTTTTTTCTAAAGAAGTGGAGCAAGTGACATTATTAATAAGGAAAACTCTTTTTTGAAACTTCCAGTTCAGAAAATGAACCAGGAACTACCGAGACTAATTGTTGCAGCACTTTAAAAGTAGTAGTTGGTAGGGACATTGTAATTTGTGGAGTAAAATAAGTATGTTGTTTAAACAAGAAGACATGTTATTTTAGGGGGAGGGGTTTATTTTTTAAAAAAACACATGGAGTAAGAAGCTGTTCCGTTCGTCTTAATCTTATTACTTATTCCTTAATCTTATTTTATTCAGATCAGATCAGAAAGATTCAGATCAGATCAGATCAGAAAGATTCAGATCAGATCAGATCAGAAAGATTCAGATCAGATCAGATCAGATCAGAAACATTCAGATCAGATCAGAAAGATTCAGATCAGATCAGCAACATTCAGATCAGATCAGAAAGATTCAGACCAGATCAGACCAGATCAGAAACATTCAGATCAGATCAGAAACATTCAGATCAGATCAGGTCCAAAAATTCAAACATGATTTATCACTTTTATTATTATATTAATTATGATTATTATATTATAGTTATTGTTAATAATATTAATATATTAATATAATAATATTATTAATAATAATATAATAATAATGTTAATAATATAAAATTATTATTATATTATAATAATATAATATAATATAATATAATATAATATAATATAATATAATATAATATAATATAATATAATATAATATAACATAACATAACATAACATAACATAACATAATATAATATAATATAATATAATATAATATAATATAATATAATATAATATAATATAATATAATATAATATAATATAACATAACATAACATAACATAACATAACATAACATAACATAACATAACATAACATAACATAACATAACATAACATAACATAACATAACATAACATAACATAACATAACATAACATAACATAACATAACATAACATAACATAACATAACATAACATAACATAACATAACATAACATAACATAACATAATATAATATAATATAATATAATATAATATAATATAATATAATATAATATAATATAATATAATATAATATAATATAATATAATATAATATAATATAATATAATATAATATAATATAATATAATATAATATAATATAATATAATATAATATAATATAATATAATATAATATAATATAATATAATATAATATAATACTCCCTCCGTCCCTTATAACTTTGCCAACTTTCCTTTTTTGGTTGTCCCAAAAACTTTGCCACTTTCCCTTTTAATCAATCAATTTGTGGATCATGTTATTTCTCTCTCCTCTGCACAAATCTCTACCACACAGTTTTTACTTTATTATTCTACGTGCCGGTCAAACTTGGCAATCCTTTTAGGGACGGAGGGAGTATAATATAATATAATATAATATAATATAATATAATATAATATAATATAATATAATATAATATAATATAATATAATATAATATAATATAATATAATATAATATAATATAATATAATATAATATAATATAATATAATATAATATAATATAATATAATATAATATAATATAATATAATATAATATAATATAATATAATATAATATAATATAATATAATATAATATAATATAATATAATATAATATAATATAATATAATATAATATAATATAATATAATATAATATAATATAATATAATATAATATAATATAATATAATATAATATAATATAATATAATATAATATAATATAATATAATATAATATAATATATTTATAATTATAATTATAATTATGATTTACAATGTAATTATAATTATAATCATCATCATTATTAATATGATTGTTGTTCTTGTTGTTATTGTTGTAATTATTATTACTTCGGAGTAATTATATATTTAAATTAGTAATTATAGACATAATTATGACTATAGAAATAAATATTATAATTATAATTACAATAATAATAATTATAAAATTAATCATAATTAAAAATATAATTACATTTATAATTGTATCTGTATTTATAATTAGTGTAATTGGTATAATTATTATAATTTTAAATTTAATTTTAATTATTATTTTTTTGTAATTATGATTATAATTGTAATTTTATTTAAGTTATATTTTTAATTACAATTATAAATCTAATAATTATAATTGTAATTACAATTACAATTATAGAAATATTCAAATCAGATCAGAAAGATTCAGATCAGAAGAATTCAGATCAGATCAGAAACATTCAGATCAGATCAGAAACATTCAGATCAGATCAGATCAGATCAGCAACATTCAGATCAGTTCAGCAACATTCAAATCAGATCAGAAAGATTCAGATCAGATCAGAAAGATTCAGATCAGATCAGATCAGAAAGATTCAGATCAGATCAGATCAGATCAGAAAAATTCAGATCAGATCAGATCAGAACTTAAAAAATTCAGATCAGAAACATTCAGATCAAGTGAACGGAACAGCTTCTAAGTTACAATATTAATGAGGAAAACTCCTTTTTATAAACATCCAATTTAAGAAAATCGATCTAGGAACTCCTGAATTTGTTTTCCAGTATTTTGGAATTAGAAGTTGTTAGAGCATACTTTATACAATACTTTGAACGAGCATTGGTATATGTATACCTATGCGTCTTTTTAATTAGTTGTTAAAGCAAGAGTGAAAAATATGTATGCCTTTTTTCTATGTTTTTTGAAAAATAACAACATGGGTATTATAAATACTCCCTTCGTCCCTAAATGTTGTTCCAATTGCGGATTACGAAGGTTGACTGACGATAAAGTTAAATGATCCCTGTGAAAACTCAGATTATTTTTAGTAAATAAAATTTACATATTCAGAAACTACATTAAACCCGCTACAAAGCCTGCAAAAAATAATTCAACTTTTATAAAATTTTGATATAAAAAGTAAGAGTTTAAGAGTGATTTAAGTTGACCCTTGATAAGCGAAATGGAACTTCTTTTTGGGACAGAGGGAGTAATAAATAACTTTAAAAATAAGCAAGTAAAAGAAAGATGAGACATGGTAGGATTGTAAGTGAATGAATGATTTCTGTTTTCAAGGGGTAAGTGTGTTTGAAATGCAAGAATTCATCGTACAATAACAAGTGTACTCTACCCTTTAAACAACGGTTAAGGCATTTTATCGAACGGGTTATGGACATACATGAAATGTTTAATATAAATATCAGCATTTATTTCATTGTAAAGGGTTTGCAATTTTGTACTCACATGCAATATACTACTCTAGCTCTTGTATTAGCATTTAGCTCACAATCTGATCTGGAGATCCCGTTCGGTCATAATTGTGTGACCAGCATATTCACTATAATACAGTTGACCGATTGTGTTTTCTTGTTGTTCATTACTCACATCGCTTTCACCTTGATCATAACATTCCAACGACAGCCAAAGGACTGTGTTGGGCCGTTGGACCTGGATCGGAGAAATAAACCTCAACACTCTCTCCGTGTTGGACCTTTGGACCTGGATCAGAGGAATAAAGCTCAACACTCTCTCTGTCCCAAATTGAGTTATAAAGTTTGACTTTCTTGAATCAAATGGATTCATTTCATTTACTTAATTAGGATATGAATTTTTAGTTAAATTTTAATTTTGATTTTGCAAATCATAGAGGTTTTGGGTAATTTTTGAATATGCATATTTTAATTATTAAAATTGAAGTAATTATCAATAGAAAGGATTTAACTTGAGAAAACTGTCAAATAGGTCTTCCTACCTTTACGAAAAGTCAATTAAGTTCTCGTACTTTAAAATAAATCAATTAAGTCCCCAAAGTATTAAAATACAACCAATTATCCTATTTCAAAGGTCACCCGCCAGCTACCCAGTTACCTCCGATTGTGTATGTCCGCATGGCCTTTTTACTATTTTCTACGAACTACTCCGTATTTTTTTAAAAAAAATCCTTTTCTTTTTGGGAAAGTTCCCGAAAGAGGACTAAAACAATTTGAAAATTCGACTGTCATGTTGTTTTTTATCAAAATAGGCGTAATTACTGTCAAGTTTGGACAATACTGTCATGTTTGAAGTCTGGTACTGCCAAAACATGACAGTAATTAGTCTTATTTTGGGAATAAAAATATTGTAGTCCTATTTTGGAATTTTCAAACCTTTTTAGTCCTATTTCGGGTAATATTCTCTTTCTTTTTTCTTTTTCTCCTTCTTCCTTCCTTTTTTCTCTTCCTCCCAGACTGCTGGGCTTCTTTTGATCTATCTGAGGCTTGTTAATGGCGACCAAAGTGAAGCACATTCTCATAAAACCTATAAGCCGGCGGCAATGTTAGTAAAGTTCTAGTCGGCGAGTGCATAGACCTAACATCCGAGCTAGTGAAGCTTGTTTTTCTTCTCCAGCAAGCTGAACGGCCGACGCGGCGAATTAACAACAGCACCACCTGATAAGGTCCCTCTTCAAAGCCAAAGAGATATGCTCGTACTAGCATAAGACAGGTGTTTTTGGTAGTTTAGACTACCTATTTTTGATGTTTTTCATTGATATAAATAGCCAAGTACCTGAACAAAAGAACGGAAAGGTGGAGTCATGGACTCCAAAAATGCAGGGAAAGGGAAAGTGGAGAACGTTCTCCCTGAAAATCAGGAAGACTTGTTCTCTTATTTACAACTGAAACACAAATAATACTGAAACTTATTTAAATAAGGTATTTTTTATTCTGCTTGCGTGGCCTTGTGGACCGTCTTACTGCCACCTCATCACTCTCATACACCGCTGGCTGTTGCTCCACATCAATACTCCCCTTCTCCAACAGAACCTTGTCCTCAAGGTTCACAGGAAACTGAGGGAAGCTGGCCCTGAGCTGGTCGTACTCCTCCCATGTAGCTTCTTCCATAGGTAAGTTCTCCCACTTAATTAACACCTCAATTACTTGTCGGGACCCTCGCTGGACTGGCCGAGTGCTGAGGACCTCTTCCGGTCGTAGCAGTAATAACCCGTTCTCGCGTAGTGGTGGTAACTCTACTGTCAGTGGTGCAGCATCCCCAACTCGTTTCTTTAGCAAGGAGACGTGGAAAACCGGGTGAATGCGTGAACCCTCGGGAAGCTTGAGTCGGTATGCTACCTGGCCAATGCGTTCCTCAACCCGAAAAGGTCCAAAATACCGGTTGGTTAGCTTCCGTGAAGAACGTTTGAAGACTGATTTTTGGCGGTATGGTTGCAAGCGGAGGAACACCCAGTCACCTACTTCAAATTCCTCGTCCCTGCGCTTACGATCTGCCAGTTGTTTCATACGGTTGTTGGAAGTCATGAGGTGTCTTTTTAGTTCTCCCAACACTTGATCACGCTCCTGTAACTGAACATCGATTTCTTCTACCAAGGAGGACCCAAATTCATACCTGGGAATTGGAGGTGGTGGGCGGCCGTATAATGCTTCAAAAGGTATCATCCCGGTCGATGCGTGGTACGTGGTATTGTACCAGTATTCTGCCCAGGGCAGTAAATCACTCCATTGTGTGGGTCGGTGCTGGACAAAGGAGCGGAGGAATTGTTCGATACACCGGTTAATGACCTCCGTTTGCCCGTCGGTTTGTGGGTGGTATGCTGAAGACATCCTCAGTGTAGTTCCTGAAAGTTTCCATAGATCTTTCCAGAAATGGCTCAGAAAGATGGGGTCACGGTCACTAAGAATGGACCTGGGAATCCCATGAAGGCGAACAACACAATCCACAAACCGCTTAGCCACCAGGGATGCGGTATAAGGATGGGTTAGAGGAATGAGATGTGCCGACTTACTCAACCTGTCAACCACCACGAGAATTGTAGTATGATTGTTGGATCGAGGCAGCCCATCCACGAAGTCCATCGACACATCCTCCCAAACCTGATTTGGTATGGGCAATGGTTGTAGCAATCCAGCTGGCGACATTGTTTGAGCCTTCGCTCGTTGACAAGTGTCACATCTGGACACATATTCTGTGACAGTCTTGTGCATAGCCGGCCAATAAAACTGGCGAGATAATCTCTTCATTGTGCGTAGTATTCCAGAATGACCACCCAACGGGGTGTCATGATGTTCCCGGAGAAGCTGTGTAATGAACCTAGAGTTAGGAGGTATTACCACACGGTTGTTGTAGCATACTAAACCATCCCGCCATGCGTAAGGTTTCCCTGGTGCAGCCCTAGCTGCCTCTCCTGCCCGTACCAAATATGGATCAGTTTCTGCCATTTTTCTCAATTCATCCCAGATTGTTGCATGTTGTGTGGAGATAGAGTTGAGCACAGGGCTATCAGGGACGCGTGATAATGCATCGGCAGCAGCATTAGCTTTCCCCGGCCGGTATAGGATCTCATAATCATACCCAACTAATTTTCCCATCCACTTCTGTTGCTCTGGAGTGAGTATTCGTTGTTCGAGCAGGTACCGGAGGCTGCGCTGGTCGGTCTGGATGATGAATCTGCGACCGAGGAGATATGGTCGCCATGTTCGTATGGCCACGATGATAGCCAGCATCTCACGAGCATATGTGGACCAATTCCTCTTTGCCACCCCCAGCGTGCGGCTCATAAACGCTATTGGTTTATCATTCTGGGAGAGAATTGCGCCAATGCCTTCTCCAGACGCATCAGTTTGAATCACGAATGGTTGAGAGAAATCTGGAAGGGCTAAAGTTGGAGTTGTGGTCATGGCGTGCTTGAGTGCAGCGAATGCTTGTTCTGCTTCCTTGTCCCAGGTGAATTTCCCCCTACGCAGGCGGTTCGTTAAAGGTCTTGCTATGAGGCCATAATCTTTGACGAATTTACGGTAGTAACCCGTCAATCCCAAGAAACCCCGTAGCTCAGTGATGTTAGTTGGAGCTGGCCAATCCAACATAGCCTTGATCTTTGATTGATCCACCTTAACGCCTTTGTTGGTGATGATGTGACCCAAATACTCCAGCTCCTGTTTACCAAAGGCACATTTCTTGAATTTGACAGACAACTGGTTATGTTGCAGGATTTGGAACACTTCCCGCACATGCCTCAAGTGTGTCTCCCAATCGGGGCTGTAGATGAGGATGTCATCGAAGAATACTAACACTGATTTACGCAGCAATGGTCTAAAGATTGAGTTCATAAGTGCCTGAAACGTTGAGGGCGCGTTGCACAGTCCAAAGGGCATTACCAAATACTCGTAATGCCCATTATGTGTTCTAAATGCAGTCTTGGCGATGTCTGGAGAATGCATACGAACCTGATGATAACCTGCCGTAAGATCGAGTTTGGTGAAGTAAGCTGCCCCGTGTAGCTCATCTAACATATCATCTACCGTGGGAATTGGGAATCGATCTTTAATTGTTGCCGCATTTAGTGCCCGGTAATCCGTGCAAAACCTCCAAGAACCATCCTTTTTCTTAACTAATAACACTGGTGATGAAAAGGGGCTGGAGCTTGGACGAATGATTCCTGAGTTGAGCATATCCGCCACTTGTTTCTCAATCTCTTCCTTCTGATAGTGTGCGTAGCGGTAGGGACGAACGTTGATAGGATCAGTGCCCTCCTTGAGTGTAATGTGATGCTCAATCTCGCGGCTAGGGGGGAGACCGTCTGGGATCTGAAATAGTGTCTCAAATTCCTGGATCAAGTTTTTCAGTGGCTCGGCTACTGGCATCAATGGTTCTTCTGCTTCAGCGAGACAGATCGCATAAAGAGTGTGTCCTCGACGAGCTTCCCTGCTCATGTCATGTGCATCCGTGGCCTGAATCATGGCAGCTTTGAGTTCCCGGAACACATGAGTCCGGCATCCCCACTTAAATTGCAGCGTCTGAGCTTTCCAATCACAGGTCACCGGCCCTAAACCTTCCAGCCATTTAACTCCCAGAACCAAGTCTAGGGCCACTAACGGAAGTGCGTGTAAGGTCATTGTGAAAGTAACCTCACCAATCCGTACCTTAACATCGTCATACCTGCACTCAGACCTCATTGGTTCACCGTTGGCGACTCGTACCAGGAATGGTGTCGTAGGTGTCTGCTTTAACCGGAGTTGCTGCGCTGCCCTTATACTGATGAAATTGTGGGTTGAGCCGCTGTCCACAAGGGCAACCAGTTTGCGATTACTTATGCCTGCGCGAAGACGAAGGGTTGTAGGAGCATCCCAACCTGTCAAGGCATGTAATGTGATCTCTGGTGATTGATCCATTGCCGCTAACAGTTCTTCTTCATGGTTGTCAGAATCTTGTTCGCTCTCCATGACAAACAGCTGTGGCTGCTTGCATTTGTGTCCCGGTGAAAACCGTTCATCGCAACTAAAGCACAGCCCCAAGCTCCGCTTCTTTTTAAGCTCCTCCCAACTCAGCCGACGTGGACCCGGTGTGTGTTTATCACCCAGTGATGATGATTGAACATGATCTGGTGATGAGTTTCCAATTTGAGGCAAGGGTTTGGAATTGTAGGACCGCTGTCCACCCCATTTTCTTTCTTTCTGTAACTGATCGTCTCTTAATCTGGCCAGGTTGATGATCTCCATCAGTGTCTTCGGTTTGAATATTCTAATCCCACTGGAAATAGATGGGTGAAGTCCTCCCATGAACGCCCCCACCAATGCCTTCTCTGACCATCCTTCAACCTTGTTCTGCAGCCTTTCAAATTCTCTTTGATACTCAATTAGCGTCCCTTTTTGGCGGATGTGGCAGAGCGCTTCATCAAAGTCTTCACCGTCAATTGGGCCAAATCGCGTCCACAGCTCCGCCTCAAATGTTTCCCACGAGATCCGATGGGGGTCGAAACCCCGAGCTCTTGACTTCGCTTGCCACCACGCGTTGGCTTCCTCCGTCAAGTGATAAGAAGCAAAGCTAACCCTCTGATCTTGTGGCATCTCATGATAGGCGAAGTACTGCTTTGCCTTGCTCATCCATTCCTCCGGGTCTCCACCGCTGAATTTTGGGAATTCCAGCTTCACCGGACGGGAATGTCCGTGTGGAGGGTTTGTGGTATACACGTGACTTTCCCCGTGCTCTTCCGTCCGACGATGGCCCCGTGCTGCGCTGGACCCACTTTCGCGGTTGGCCGCCATCAATTCCCTCATTCGGTTCACAGCATCTTCTAGATTTCGGTTGAACAGAGTCTCCAAACTCCGGAATTGGTCTCCTATGCCGGTGTTTATCTTCTGAAGCTCATCTTGCACAGTTCCGAGACTCTCCTGCATCAACCCAAGGCCTGCCTCCAAGTCGTCGAGTCTCTCCTTGTTGTTCGACATGGGCTCGTCTCCCTGGACAACGACCCTTGGCTTGTTTGGTTTCTGTGATTTTCGGGGTGGAATGTTGTGAATTGGGGTGAGTGATACTGAAGAAAATTCTTGATGGGCGTTGATTCGTAGAGAATACCGCCAACAAGAACCAAACGGCTCTGATACCAAATTGATAAGGTCCCTCTTCAAAGCCAAAGAGATATGCTCGTACTAGCATAAGACAGGTGTTTTTGGTAGTTTAGACTTAGTGATGGCAACGGGGCGGATCGGGGACGGGTACACATAAAACCGGAACCGCCCCGTTGGATAAATGTTTGCCCCAAAACCGCCCCATTACCCATTCGGGTAATTTTTATTTGAACCGTATCCGCCCCAACGGGGAATCGGTTTATCCACGGGTAACCGTTTCCCCAAATGATACCAAATAACCAACTTTTTTTGGGAAAATAAATAACCAATTTTTAATCCTACTTGTTATTTATATATTCAAAGCACCCTAAAACATACAAAAATAAACATTTAAGCAATCAAGCAGACTGACCTAAATTCATTAGTATGACATGTACCCAATATCTCTTGTAACATAATAAAAAAGTAGTAATCATCCCAGAATCCAAATTTCAAAAATAGGTTTAGGCCTATATTTAGTTTTAGGTCTAAAAAAGTAGTATACTTTTTAGCATTATTTATATGATATATACTATTTATTATACACAATTTAGCATATATAGTTATTATTCTTATATATAAAAAGTTATAATTTATTAATAATGTTATCGATCAGGTAACGGTGCGGGTACCCGCAACACTAGTGCACGGGGCGGTTTCGGGGCGGATAACGGGGTGGATTAGTATAGAACCATAACCGCACCATTAACCATTTAAAAAATTCGGGTATTCCCCGCCCCGTACCCATTCCCCAGTCAAACCGGTTTTCCCCAGTTTGACCAAATCGGTTCGGTGCGGGTATCCAACGGGTCGGTCGAAATTGCCATCTCTATTTAGACTACCTATTTTTGATGTTTTTCATTGATATAAATAGCCAAGTACCTGAACAAAAGAACGGAAAGGTGGAGTCATGGACTCCAAAAATGCAGGGAAAGGGAAAGTGGAGAACGTTCTCCCTGAAAATCAGGAAGACTTGTTCTCTTATTTACAACTGAAACACAAATAATACTGAAACTTATTTAAATAAGGTATTTTTTATTCTGCTTGCGTGGCCTTGTGGACCGTCTTACTGCCACCTCATCACTCTCATACACCGCTGGCTGTTGCTCCGCATCACCACCAGATGCTGGACACGGGTTACAACGAAAAAAATTATCAGATGAAATTTTTGATAATTCCAAAATGAAGCAATTTCATCCACTTTGTAACTATTTGACTTTGCAGAGAGCTATTGGAAGGGAAGACATATATTGTGATATACTATCCTCCGTCTTTTTTAGTCACAACATGTTGAATTTTACACTATTCACATGTTCTACTTTGACTACATTTTATATTATTATTTTATGAAAATTATTTTTTTTTAAATTATATTGTTCAATTCATCTCATTACACATTTTCAAAATTTAATTTTTAAATATTTTTTACTAATGGGGATTAAGATATAATTACGGTCAAAGATGTGCGTTGGCAAGTGTGAAATGTTGACCGTTGCAACTAAAAAAGAACGGAGGAAGTAGAAGGAAGCTGCATATTACTTCGTACAAGTCATGGAAAGTCAAAATAAATGGTGTGGAACTGTGGACTTGCAGGGAACTCCATGGGAAAAAGAAGAAAGAAATCAAAAGAAAGGAGAAAAAGAAAACAGTTTACTCCAATAGGGGAAAATAAATAATATACCCCGAACTTTGCCTTGGTGTGAGCTCCCCACCCCAAACTTGTCATAGTTTAAAAAATACCCTCAACTTTATTTATTTAATATTTTTGTACCATATTTTAATAAACAAATAATATTTCTCAAATTGTAATATTTTTATTAGATTTAGTTGGCAAAAAAAGATGTGTGATTCCCAAATTAATGTGTGCTTTTCGAATTGATTAAATAACTTCAAAATCTCTAATTTAAGTACAAAAAATATGTTAATTAATCTTTTTTTGACAACTAAATCTAATTAACATATTATAATTTGAGAAATATTATTTGTTAATTAAAATATGGTACAAAAAATTTAAATAAATAAAGTTGGGGGTATTTTTTAAACTAGGACAAGTTCGGGGTGGGGAGCTCACACTAAGGCAAAGTTCGGGGTATATTATTTATTTTACCCTACTCCAATATAACCGGCTGGACACCTACGGTAAAAAAATATACTCCGGTTACTTTGATTTAGGAAGAGAAAACACCGAGGAAGAACCAACTGGACTCCCATGTAGGCAAGTAACCAGATTACCGCTTAGTCACCTCCAAACTAGCCTAGTTGATCATTTTGTAACCCTCGGAGAACTTAATTCATACTACCTCCGTCTCATTTTATGTGTCTTAATTTGACTTGACACAATTTTTTTTCTTCCTTTTTTTACTACAAGGGGTCTGGAGGAGGGGGGTTTCCTTTTTTTACTACAAGGGGTCTGGAGGAGGGGGGTTGGGGGTGGAGTAATTTGAGCTGAAACTCACTCCATTGACTTGACACGATTATTAATAAAGTGGCTGAAAAAGTAAAAATTATGGATGATGTTTGAGTATAATAAAGTGAAATTGTGTAGACCACATATTTCTTTTCAAAAAAGGAAAGAAGACACTTATTTTGGGACAACCCAAAAAGAAAGTAAGACAAGTAAAATGGGACAGAGGAAGTAGAATTTAAAGTACGAAAATTCAATTGACTTTTTCGCAAAAGTATAGGGACCTATTTGATAATTTTCCCAACTTTAACATTGATTGACAAAAAAATGTTTATTATGCAAAACTAAAACTATTTGGGACAGAGGCACTATTAGAACTTAGTACAGTTCTCCTATCCTGTAATAGAGCTTACCTCTCATTATAATGCTAACAATAAACTTTAAGATTGTATTTACGTATTGATAATGATGTACTCCGTAATTTTCTTCGTAGTTTCCAATAATTTAAAACTTGGTTTTTAATGCCGGATGGGGTCATTTGATGAATTTTTAATGTATAGACGATAATAAAGATAATTACAAAATGACAAGGCCCTCATCACTCACCAAAAGTTAAGGCAATTAACATCCATTTACCACTAATTATAGACGAAGAATCTCCAGAAATAAACCATAGTTGTACCACAAACCATCCTAAATCAATTCCCATTCTCCCAAAATAGAACCAATCCAGACCAGTTCCGGTACCTGGATCTTTTAATAGGCTATGAAACCGGCTAGTGACGGCCACAGAAGCAGACATAAACCGCCAGTGTATAACGAACCGGACATGCCCGGTTACAATTATGGTTACACCCTTTTCATTGCCTATACAAAACTGCACATTTGTGTTAGTTCAGGCAGCATTTGAGTGACCCCCAAAACACTAACTACACAAATGACAAACCCTGAAGTGACCAAAAGCTAAGGCAGTTAATATCCATTTACCACTAATTACAGACGAAGAATCTCCAGAAGCAAGCCATAGTGGTCGCTTGGAAGAACAGGTAGCATTAGCTTCTTAACTGCATTCCTCGTTTTCTTTTCTTTACAATAAGACAAGCCCGATATCTGATCCTTCCCAATCATCTCAATCTTATGTATCCTGAAATCCTTGAGGCTGCACAAGAACCTGTCGAGTCTTTTCTGCAGTGACCTATTCCCGCTCAACATCTGATTTGTCTTTGTGTCGTAAGTGTACCCCACCTCTCCACTCCTTAGCTCAGACCAAGCATCAACCCATCCGTCCTTTAAAGGAAACGGTCCGTCCAGCTTGTCATCCCAGTTCATATCCCCGCAAAATATAACATTTGGGTGTTGGTCAAGGAGGTTGATGGACTCCTTCGCCTGAGCCACACGTTCTTTGCTGAACATCTGGTCCCACTTAGGTGGAGCGGGGGATGGGCTCTCGAGATGGCTGGTCGCAACTACCAATCTCATTTCTTTCTCTACTTCAATCTCAGCAACACAGAGTTCTCTCCCCATTATTGAATTGCCAAAAGGTTTGCAGCTAAAGTTTTTCACTGAGAGTTTTGTTAGCTGCAAACAAAAGTGCTTTGTAATTTTTTTCCAAGTATTTGCTCGGCACAAATTTTCATTCAGCAAATGAAGTGGTAACTCGGTGAAGAAATTCATAGATGTTGAGAATTTGGAAAAGATCCATTTAACCAGGAATACAATCGCATGAATTTATCTTAACATGGTATTCTCACTAAATCAATGCCCATTTACGTCAATAGAAAACCAAGCCTCTGTTTTTTCACAGTGAAATAGGAATATTTTCAAAGAAAATGATTTTTGATTTTATGTGTGTAGGACTAAAAGAGCCATTGACAGGCATTGTTTTAGAGTTTGGGACCAGATAATGTTTTTCTTAAGGAATATATTACTTTGTTCTTTAGGATCTATTTGAAAATTGGAAAATACTATGGAATGAAAATATGGAGTAAAATAGAAAGGACAATCGGCGAGAGGGGATTTGGGGGCATTATAGTTAGATTCAAGCTCAATAACATGCTTTTAAATTTGTCCAAATGTAATTTCTTTGTTTATTTACTTCTTTATTTATTTCTATTATATAAAACTACAAATACAAATGCATGTTAAAATTTTAATTAATTAATTACATTCTGTTTTCCTTTAAAAATTTTAGGTAAACCCGAACACAATAAAATAAAGCTTTTTTGGACCTAAAATAGTTTGATGTTTTCCATTTTTGTGCAAAAATAAGAACCGCCTTATTAACCTTGTTTTTAAGGAAAACTATTTCCTCCATGTTCCACGAAGCTTTATTCCTACGACAATTTTTTTAACAAGTTCTTTGGAAACAAATGCAGCACAAATCTGAGACATTACATGTAGAATCACAAAGTTGTGGCCCTGTAGTTACAAAAAGAGCAGAGCAAATTACCTGCATACAGAAGTATGGCCTGGAAAATGCCAAATCACTAGGCACAGAGCAACGATACACCTTCCACCATCTACATCCCTGAAAGATGTCGTAAATTCTGGGAGTGACCTCCTGCATATGAAAATTAATAAGCATCATGTCCAAATGATTTTAAATTTGCATTGATTTCTCGTACAATACTACAATAGTTGGCATATCAAGACTTGTCCAAATCAAGATGATCATTAGAGTTTAATGAGATACCATACAATATTAATATTTCGGATTTCATCCTAAAAGCTCAACCTAATTATAGAAGTAATACAATCGCTTATACTACGTATGTTAATTTTATATTCTAATAGAACAACACAAAAGAATATGGATTATGGAAGTACCTGAAAACATATGATGTCTGGGGAATGCAACTCAATGAGATCGCTTATAGCTTCCATACGTTTATGCAACTCCAGTTCTTCACGAAACCAAACATTGTATGTCAAAATTTTCAGGGCCCTTGATTCCCTCTTATCCAACCATGTACTGCTATGTGCTTGTTCTATATCATCATCTGAGATTCACAAAAGCAATAGTTCTCCATCAAACATGAAAAAAAAGAATGAACAAAATGCTAACCGAGTTATTCATTCCCTCGTGTATTAAGATACACCAGCAAGGTACAAGTAAATAATAAAAAAACTTAGGATTTATTTGTCATAGTAGCATAAAACCAGAAAGCGAGTTCTTGATGGAAAATATACATAGGCAATAATGCTGCTGAACACTTCAAAAAACATCTCGTAATAAAATCAAACAAAAAGCTTTTTGTAAAGCAGCTCATGATAATCTGAGTAAACTAGATTTATCCTGCACCTTCATTATATGCTTATCCAGACAAATCTGTTAATGGCCAAGATGAATTCACCCAATGTATATATGCATTATCATAATCTAAATCAGAAGGATCACAGAAGCTCTGAGTTCAGAAATAAGTTTCTTACATGGCAATACCCATGGAAGTGTGCGAGAAAATCACTACTACACATTTGTCTCCAAAAATTTGGATACTTGAAAATGCATTAGCCATTATCGGAAGGGAAAAAACTGATAAAGAAAGTCGTTTTGTAATGCTTGGTTTTACACTTTAACCTTGGAAGCGAAATATGACTAATAAAAACAAGTTAAAGATATATATAGATTTCCTGAATTCTTTTTATCTAACAAACATAAATAAATAACTAAAGTTTGCATCAACAACTATCTAAAATAAATAGAGTTATAGCTTATGACTATCTTGAACATCCTCCACATTTTCTCTCCTTCAAATTTCCTTCTATGTTTTCCTTCCTATTTCTTTGGCTAGTGTTTTCCTCTATTCAAATTCCAAACTCATCCAAAAAGTTTCAGTCAAGGCCAACATTCACCTGCCAATAAAAAACATAGGATCTTAACTTACCTAGTGACTCATTGACAACATTTTTGCCTGTATTGGCATTCCTGAAACCAACCCCATCATCATCTTCAACCACAACTTGTTCCCCCAGCCTTTTCCTCTTCTTTCCACCATTCCCAGCCATTGACTCCTCTGAAGTATCCATACCCGACCCGTATCCCGTATCAGATATAGTAGTGTCATCATCTTCAACCTCAATTGGAGCTGATTTCCCGGAATTCTGGCAATGTCTCAACGGCAAGAAAACGGTTCCCACATATTGCGGGTCATCGTCGTCTTCGGTGTCAAGGAGAGTGGAAAGCGAAGCCGCCGGGGCTCGGGTCCCACATGCTTCGCACCGTTGGGAGGGGAAAGGGTTGAGGAGCGTGCAGGCCGTGCATGGCCACTTGGGCTTTGCCGGCGGCGTGGACGCCGGCGATAGGCAGATTAGGCAGGTGGATTTCTGAGAGGGAGGGTTGATGAAAGTGCAGGCTGAGCATGACCAAGATGACATTTTTTTGTTGGTGGAGAGAACGGAGAAGGTTTTCTTAAGAGGGTTTTGGAAGGATATTGAAGAGGAGAGACTGATTTTGACGGCCATTACCATCCTATACACTGGAGAGAGAAAATTCTCCCGCTCATTCCATCCCATTATTTACTTCGTATTGGGCATAAACGTCATTTCCGTACTGAGAAAAGAATCGCCTTCACCCTGCCTTTTCTCTTCTTCTCTAGCCGCTCCCACACGCCACGCGCTCGCACCAATTCACCATGGTTGAGAGAATAACCTTCCGCCACACTATCTCTCAACCGTGCCGCACCATTCCCTGCAGCATCTCTCAATCTCGCCCACCGTTTTGCTTGCACCGTCTCTCAATCGCGCCGCACCTCACCGCTTCACCACTTCAATAGCGAGGGTTCCTAATGCATTGTTGAATCAGTCGTTAGAAAAAGTGGTTTTGAGGTTTTTTTTCTTCTTCTCAAGATTTCTCGATTTAGGGATTATCCAGATTTACCATCCATTTTTGTATTGGAGCTGCATTTGGTATTTTTTGCTCACCACCATAAAGTCTGTATTTTTTGTATGTTTGGAACATATTTCTCAATTATTATGTTGAATTTGTCTTATTATTTGTGAAGCCACATTCATGCTTTTCCCCAAAGCATATAACCAGAGAGGATAGAAGTGTCACTATGTTTTTATGAGAAGGTATATGAGTCTATTTCCCCCTAAAATTTCACTAATTAGTATTAGTACAGACGATGTGATACTTTCTCATTGCCTATTTTACTTGCATTCTCCTCAGTATTAAACTTTCTAATTCTTCCTTGACTATTCACACTACTCAGTATTAAAATTTCTAAAAAAATGACCAATTGGAATCTGAACTTTCCCCCCATCTTTGCCTAATTTACTCGCTTGCTAATGAGTGTTAAACTATATAAAATAAATGATGAATTGGAATCTTGAATCTGCTCTTTGCTTATTATACTTGCTCAGTACAAGTTTCTTGGATGTTAATATAGCCTTTTACTGTTATACTCCATATGACTTATATCTTTATCATTGCATTTCGAGGGGAGAAGATGAAAAAATATCGAGCTTCATTTTGTCTAGGGTGAAAACCTAAAAATTAAAAAAGACTAATTATTATAATATGACATTATCTCTTTGCCTGATTTACTTTCTTAGCTCAAGTTATATTGGTGATTCAGTACTCAATAACTCATGACTATTTTAAGAATATTTCTAGAGATGGGTGATAAAAATCTAAGACTTTCTGAAAATACTAAGTTCAAACAAAAACAATAAAAGAAGAATGAAAGCATTCCCTCTAAGCTTGCCTTCATGTTTAAAATTGTCCTTCATTGATAGTTTTTTTAAATAACCCTTTTACTGGATCACTTTCCCCAATAGAAAACAGTAGCCGTTCTTGGAACTAAATTCAAACCAATTTAGTCAGGTTCCTTTGAGCCCTTTGAGAGCAGTAGCTCACTCGCTCTTATTCGTTTTGGTCATATTGTTGCTTTATTTGGAGATACTCCTAATATGTATTTTTTTAATAGTATATTTGAGATATTCGTTTTGCTTTGAGTTTCAACCTAAAGCCCCTAAAATGTGTTAACGAGTCCAGAAACTAAAGCAGTCCAATTGAGATGCTTTTGTTCAACCTTAATTGTCTTCTTAGGATATAGGATTTTTAATTCCAGAGATTAGGCTTATGTGTTATTTCATTGCATTCTTAGTCTAAGAATAATTTTGACCCTGGATTCATTAAACCCTTAAACCGTCTATGATTCAAAGGTTTCTTAATGTTCTTAAACTTTAGAGATGGTGTACAATTCAAATGTAGACTTTTATTAAACCTTCTATCATTCTATGTAATCGGATTATGATCTTAATTTATGTTTTGGATCCTGAGATTGATGGACTTGATTCGTGGGTCATGAGAGACCAGTAGCTTGATTACTCTTTACTAAGGCAAAATCGAACTCTTTCTTATTACATCTTGGAAGAGGAATGAGAGACCAGAAGATCTTAGAACAATGATAGTTGACCTCTTTCTCATTTGAATGATATTTACAACTGTGAGTCAGCCTTTCTATGTTAGAGTCCAATCAAGAACAAAAATAAATTAAGAAAAACTCAATAGGAATCAAAATCTAACTCTCACACATTGCTCTTATGAAAAAAACACAATGTGAATTAAATTATCACTATCACTCAATGCTCTTATTTTCCCTTCTTTAGCACCTCTTCCTCATATTCATGCAGTTGTTGAATCTGAAAGAAATGCTCTACTAGATTTTGCTTCTTTTGTTACATATGCATGTCAGGAAACTTCTTCTTATTTAAAAGTGACTTAGTTTCTTTGCTTTTCACTAAAAATATTGCACTCTGAAACTAACCGGACGCAGATGTGTGTGTTAGCTCCTGTTGCAGGTATCATTGTAGGTATTATTTGCCATCTGAGTCCTTTTTGTTTAATATATGTGTTCTATTAATGATAGATTTACAAAAAATAATAATTTCTCACTACAAATAAAAAATTATTTACCCTGTTCTTTTCCAGTTTGTTTTATGTGTTTTCATAGTAATATTTTTATAAAGACTTTTATATCTCACTACCCATTAAAGGGATTCAATATGCCTAGAACATTCTGAATGCTCTTTTGTTTTACACTAGAGCAGATCTTATGGCCATTTCTTTTGCCAATTCTATGCTAAATTTTAAATAAATAACCTGCTATTACTCGATTCAAATTATTTTCTGGTGATTATTTTTCAGTTCTTCGGTTAATTGAATACCTATTAATGATTGATTATTGTTGATATTAAATTAGTTACCCAGTTTTAACTAAATTTGCTCTTTCTTAATTGCAGCATGTCTTTGTTTGCAAATTAATTGACGAGTACAACTAAAAAGTTGCATCCACAGTGATTTCTACAATATTTAATGAAAGGTACGAAATTATGGCGATTCTTTGTATGTTTTATTCATTTTTATACTTGTGCTTTCTTTCTGAGTCGAAAAACTATTCTAGGTTCTCCGGTCCTCACACTCAGCATTAGCTTGCCCAGAGTTTTTACTGTCACACCTAGAGGAGAATTATTGCTGCAGTGTTTTCTTCCAAGTAATAAAAAGATAATGATTATATTGCTAAATTAGTTTTTCTTTGCTAATTGATGAGTTATAGGTCTGTTAGCTCCTCCATTGAAATGAAACCTAACTTTATTTAACTGACCCAGACCAGTAACTCGATGACTCTTTACTAATCTCTTTTTTCAGTTGAACAAAACTTATCTTAAATTGAGCAAAAAACATTTTGGTTTTATAGTAAAGTCATGAAATAACATGCTCATAATCTTTTACAGTATTAATGCTTCAAAATAAATTAACATGGCCCTATTCAATATTATGTAGGCAACTATATGTCTGCATATTGAACATCCTATTATAGTATTAATGCTTTAATATTTTGTAGCTTTGTTATTTTCTAACTTTGATCTAGAACCCCATCTATTCACTCTTTCAGTAATGTTTGGAATTACATGTACCTTCCAAACAAAGGCTCACTAATCTGGTGATAAATTTCACTTGCAGAATGAAGTGTAAATTTTAAGGAGGCAATATCATCATTAGGTACTAAAAAACTTTCCTTCATTTTATGATAATTGATTATGTCCAATCTTTTATCTTTATTTTTATGTATCTAAAAGCACTACATGTGAAAGAGGGAGAAATCCCGCTTAAACGTACGCGTAATTTCAATAGGTGAAGTCTGGGGTTGGGCCGTAAAAAATACCTTTTTGCCGTAAAACATCCTTCCAGCAGAGATCAAATTTAGAGCCCGTTTAGTAACACGAAAATACCTTTTTGCCGTAATACATCCTTCCAATTGATCAATTTCGGTTTATGTATATATAGATTAGTTATTCAATTTTGGCTTCATGTATACATCGATTAATTATTCAGTTTGCTATCCTGGATTCTTAAAAAGAAGCATTGAAAAATAATTTTAAATATGGATTTGGAGTTTAATTACATCTTTTAAATATGTATATTCTTGCTTTGTAATCTTCTTCATTGACACAATTGAAAAGTGAAGTTGAATTACTTCAAGTTCACTTTTCAATTGAGAATGGATTTGATTTCACAGTGACATGGTTTATATCAAAATTTTCCCTTGCTGCTATTGTTTGTTTTCTGGTTTTCTTCCACCTATATATCTATCAGCTTTTTTATAAACTCACTGGTGAATAGCTGATTGTGAAATTGTTATTTATTTTTTATAAACTCACTTAATGAATGGATTCAATTAAACTATGCTTTAGACTAAAACTTAGCATAACCAAAAGAACAAAGCAAAATTTGCACAAAGTCTGACCTTTTACCATATGCTCACCGCCATTTGTTACTTTGAATCAAGGTCATATGGGACTAGAGCAATACTATGAGGCTGTTGAGTTGTTTGATTTGCACAAGTGTCTTGGATTAATTGTATGTTTCTGCTCTATTACTCTATTTATTTGTTAAATTAGAATAGATTATTGCTTCTTATTTCATGCATCAACAATTTGATATGTTATCGCATGATCTATATGAGGGGTTAGTCTGCTGACTTCACATAACCCTCTCAGCCTCATAACACTATGG